TTCGTTTCCCAGCAGCGTCCCTTTCTCAGGCTGTCCTTCTGCCACAAAGTCCACCATGGTTAGGGGAATTGAAGGTAACGAGATGTCCACGCCGAAGCAGAAGCCAGCATCGGCTGGTCCGAAACCAAATCAGAAGTCTATTCTGGGCTTCTTCCAGAAAAAGACTGGCCCAGCCTCGTCCCCAGTCGCCGCCGAGTCGAACAAAACGCCAAAGAGCTCGATGCCCACACCAAGCCCAAGCATTGATGCGCTGGAAGCTTCAAGCCCACCACTACCGGCAAAGTCCAGCCAGCCAGGTGGACTAAACAAGGAGAATGGTACTATGAGACTTCCTAACACGTCTAGTGCAGCAACTGACAGCATGGAAGAAGGCCCGGATGCTAGCTTCTCAAGCCCCTCGCGAAGAGTATGTCCAGCATTCCCTGTACTAGACTGCTTGTAGCTCTGACACTTTGCAGGCGAAGAAGAAAGTCAGCTATGCTGAGTCCGACGATGATGACGAGGAGCCCTTCAAGCCTATCTCGATGAATGCTTCTGGAAGGGCCTCGAAACGGAGACGCATCAGTGTCAAGGATGATTCAGACGACGATAACTTTGCCCCAGAGACGGACAATGGTGCCGGCGCTATAAGTGATGAAGGTAGGCAGATTGTGATGATCATGCCCGACAGGCGCTGACAGCTACAGACATGGATGATTTCATTGTACCGGACGAGATGGACGAAGATGAAGAACCAACCAGGACCAAGAAACGACCTTCTAAAGCACAGCCCAAGACCAAGTCGTCTCCATCACCAGCCTCGTCGCCTCCAGATCACGACCTCGAAATTCCCTCTGAGTCCACGGCACAACAATGGAAGTTCGACCCCGAGACCAGCATCAATGGCACAATCCGTCCGCCCCCCGCAAAGTCTGGCGGCGGCTCCTCGAAGAAGCAGAAAGCGCACATGACAGAACCTGACAAGCGCTATACTTGGTTGGCCAATGTCCTAGACGCGGATAGAAACCCTCCAGGTCATCCTGACTACGATCCTCGTACCATATTTGTTCCCTCATTGGCATGGGATAAGTTCTCGCCCTTTGAGAAGCAATACTGGGAAATCAAGCAAAAGTTTTGGGACACAATTGTGTTTTTCAAGAAGGGAAAATTTTATGAACTGTACGAGAACGACGCCACGATCGGCCATCAACTTTTTGATCTAAAGCTAACGGACCGGGTCAATATGAGAATGGTTGGTGTACCGGAGGCATCGCTTGATCACTGGGCGAACCAGTTTGTTGCCAAAGGTTTCAAAATTGCACGAGTTGACCAGATGGAGTCTGCGCTCGCAAAAGATATGCGGGAACGAGACGAAAAAACAGCCTCAAAAAAGGCAAAACCAGTAAAGGAAGAAAAGGTCATTCGACGAGAGCTTGCCGCCGTTCTGACATCGGGAACTTTGGTCGACGGCGGCATGTTGCAGGACGATATGGCTACGTTTTGCGCCGCGATCAAAGAGAGTGAAGTTGACGGCCTGCCCGCCTTTGGAATCGCATTCGTCGATACTGCCACAGGCCAGTTCCACCTGGCGAACTTTGTCGATGACGTGGACATGACTAAATTCGAGACGTTTGTTGCACAAACAAGACCCGGCGAACTACTGCTGGAAAAAGGCTACAATTCACCAAGAGCGCTGCGAATCCTCAAGAACAACACCCCGCCTACTACCATCTGGAACTACCTGAAGTCAGACAAGGAGTTTCTCAGTCCTCAGAAGGCCTTGCTGAAAATTGAGGGTGAGAAGTATTACGAATCAGCAGATTCAGACGATGTCAATGCCTGGCCCGTCGTTCTTCGTGAGGCTAAAGAGAAGGAGAACGTCTTTTCCGCTTTTGGCGCTCTGGTCTGGTACCTGCACATGCTGAAGATCGAACGCGACCTTTTGACTTTGGGGAATTTCCAATGGTATGACCCGATTCGTAAGGCTACAAGCTTGGTACTTGATGGACAAAGTCTCATCAACCTGGAAATATTCGCAAACAGTTTCGACGGCAGTTCTGAGGGTACTCTTTTCACTATGCTAAACCGATGCATCACTCCTTTCGGCAAACGCATGCTTCGTCAATGGGTATGCCATCCTTTGGCGGATGCTGCCAAGATCAATGCTCGGTTAGACGCTGTGGATGGACTTAATGCAGACCAGACAGTGACCAACAACTTCACTTCCGACTTATCCAAGCTACCCGATCTGGAACGTTTGATTTCCCGCATCCATGCTGGGCGTTGTAAAGCTCAAGACTTTGTCAAGGTGCTGGAAGGCTTTGAGCAAATCGAGTATACAATGAGCATGCTCGCTAAGTTTGGAGAAGGCGATGGCCTTATTGGTCAATTGATCTCGTCCATGCCCGATCTTCAAGGGACTCTCAAGCATTGGAAGGATGCCTTCGATCGTCCGAAAGCCAAAGCAGACGGCCTACTTGTACCGGAACCCGGGGTCGAGACCGACTTTGACGAAAGCGAAGAGCACATTAACAATACTCTTAAGCAACTTGACGATTTACTCAAGCGTTGTCGGAAGGAGCTCGGCTCGACAGCACTCAAATTTACCGATAACGGCAAGGAGATTTATCAGGTCGAGGTACCCGTCAAGGTCAAGAATGTGCCGAAGAGCTGGCGCCAAATGTCTGCCACCAAGCAGGTCAAGCGTTACTACTTTCCGGAACTCGAGGACCTCGTGCAGACTTTGAAAGAAGCACAGGAAACTCATGCCCAGATCGTCAAGCAGGTAGCGGGTCGCTTCTATGCTCGATTTGACGAAGATTATTCGGTCTGGCTAGCTGCCGTCAAGATCATCGCTCACCTGGACTGTCTGATCTCGCTAGCCAAAGCATCTTCAGCAATGGGTCATCCCAGCTGTCGGCCCACCTTCGTTCACTCTGATCGCAGCCAGATCTCGTTCACAGACTTGCGTCACCCCACGATGCTGACCACGGTCACCGACTTCATCCCCAACGACATCACACTCGGCGGCTCCTCGCCAAACATCGACCTTCTGACCGGCGCCAACGCAGCGGGCAAGTCCACCGTTCTCCGCATGACTTGCATAGCCGTCATCCTCGCCCAAATAGGCTGCTACGTCCCCTGCTCCTCCGCAACCCTCACCCCAGTCGACAGAATCATGTCCCGCCTCGGCGCGCACGACAACATCTTCGCCGGCCAGAGCACCTTCATGGTCGAGCTCAGCGAGACAAAGAAGATCCTCTCCGAAGCCACGCCCCACTCCCTCGTCATTTTGGACGAGCTGGGCCGCGGCACAAGCAGCTACGACGGCGTCGCGGTTGCACAAGCGGTGCTGCACCACGTCGCTACGCACGTCGGGTGTATCGGCTTCTTCGCGACGCACTACCACAGTCTGGCAGCGGAGTTTGCGGACCATCCTGAGGTGGAGCCGAAGCGGATGGCGATCCAGGTCGATGATGAGGAGCGACGCGTGACGTTCTTGTACAAGCTTGAGCAGGGCGTTGCGGAGGGGAGTTTTGGTATGCATTGCGCGGCTATGTGTGGGATACCGAAGAAGGTGATTGATAGGGCTGAAGAGGCGGCGAGGAGTTGGGAGCATACGGGGAGGTTGCAGGTTAAGGCTGAGAGTGGGAAGGGAGAAGTGGGGCTGGGGTGGTTGAGTGATGTTGCTGGGTTGTTGCGGGAGGAGGGAGAGGAAGAGGTTGGGTTGAGGGGCTTGGAGGTGCTTAGGCGTGCTGTAGAGGTGATGTAGGTGTATGCTTGTTGCTGAGGATGGACGCGACTGAACGAGGCTTGCACGACTCACGGGGAGCTGGCGAGGTGTAATGAAGGGGCTTACATGGCATGAATATGGATTGAAGGACTTTGCTGATAGTCGAAGTATAGAATACCCTTTGCATATTTACACTACCTTTCCCGCCACTTGCGGCAATCTTCTTTGCTTTGTGAATCTACAGGTGGTGACTGCTTTCCATCCAAAATTCGGACGTGGAAGGTGAAGAGATCTGTAGTACAAGACCTCTCGCTGCTAGGGCAATGAACATGCCACCCCTCATCAGAATCGAACTTTGCGATGCGTATGGCGTGGACACTGATTGCAGGACTGATCGCAGAGCTGATTGCAGAGCGGGCTGTGCGAGTAGTCGCGAACGCAGCTACCATGCCCCAAATGCTGTTATGGCTGTAGAGCTCGTCGTAGAGCTGATCGCGGAGCTATATGACGGACCAGGCGCGAGAGTTGCCGCCCTGCGGAGTGTCCTTGAGGTCATTGGAATACTTGTAGGACTGTTCCCGCAGGAGGCTGCTCACCAGCTTGCCGGACGAGTCGCAAAGCTAAATGCTCTGCCAGCCGGAAAGCAGGACGCATGACTGACTGCACTAGTGGTCGCAGAGCTTACATGCCTGACTAGCAGCAGAGCTCACAGGTCTCTCTTGACTGCCCTCCGGAACGCTTGACAAGTCATCGGGCTATGAACTGGACTGGTCGTGGGGGGACCTGAACCATGACATCGTGGACGACCTGGGGGACAGCTTAGAGGACGACTTACGGGATGACTTACGGTACGAGGTCCTAGGTCATCGACCGACCATGGATAGGGCGGTATTGCTTTCAGTCTTGGAGATGCTGAATGGACAGAAAGGAGGAGGGGATCAAGGGCTTAAGTTGATGGCAGGTTTCTGTAACAATTGACGGGAGGCAGGATTGGTGGCAACCAGCATCTATTGCGTTGTCAACAACAAAAGCAAGGTCGCTAGCACTTTTCTGTGCAGGATCTGGTCGTTGACATCGAATTTTGCTGCTTCGCAGTCGAACGATTGGTCGTATGATCTTGCAGTGATTTTGCTTCCACCAGAGCAGCGGCGGCCGACTATACCTCTACCGCAACTCTTGTTACGAACAAAGTTGGGGGAGACTCGACAAGAGAAAAGTGCAGCCGGCAGATGAAGAGTGGCTTACAGCCACAAATCGTTGAGAGGATGTGTGATAGTAATGTTATGGAATGTGAGTCCTCCTCCCTGATAAGCCGAATGATCTGCCTACTGCATTGAACACGCCGCAAAGTGCTCCACGTCCCCCTCTCCCATCTCCTGCTGCGCCTCGCTCTTCTCAAGTTAGCAAATTAGAATCAGGCAAGTTCGTCGTCCTCCGCCCCCTGCTCAGCTTCGCCCTCCTCGCGCTTCACTTTGGAGTCCTCCAGCTCAGGTTCGTCCTCGCTTGCCACATCCTCGATCTTGCGTCTCTTGTTTTTGGCAGCTTTGGTCTTGGGTGAAGCCTTTGGTTTGGACGTGGTGAGCTCGACCGTACCCTTGGTGGTGTCTACCAGGGTCAAGTCAGTATGTGCCAGACAAAGGACTTTTGCGGGTTGTAGTGAAATGGTATAGATGGGCACCCGACCTTCACCTTGCTCAAGCTGTGCGAGGACTTTCTTCTTGATTGGATGGAGCTTGCTACGTGCTGTGTTGGCGTTTTTGAAGCCCGCATTGGTGGCAAGGAGGTTGTAATCGATGCCCTGAGCTAATGTCAATTCCATTTGATAGCGACAGAGATGCAAGGGGAACGTACTTCGAAAACATTCTGATCTTTGCGTGAGAGAAAGGCGGCGAAGAGGATCTCGCGATCACGCTCAGTAAGATTTTCAAGAATGTCTGGCAAAGCCATGGTGAGCTTGAATACTGGATATGGTAGGTGGAAGTGAGATGTGCGGGCTTGATGTACTCGTGGTCGATTGTTTTCGAAGTCGTGCTTTCGTACGCTAGAGATGAAGGAACGATGAGAAAGAATGAGAAAGGTGGAATGTACGACTGACGAGAACCGTTGGAAACGTGGAGGAAGATATAGTCGTTCGATATCACGTAGGCATGCGTGGAGATCACAGACTGGAGGTTATTCATTTCACCTATCCATCTCATCAATGCTTCACGAATGCATCTAGCCGATCGCGTACTCCATCGCGCTGTCTGTTAATCCCTCGTATGCTGAGCACCGTTTGCCCTGCACCGAGGTTGTGCATACTAGGCCTTTTCCATAGCCTTCTCCGCGCCGCTGGCACCTTCCTCAAACTATCGCCATGAAACGCGCTCCACTTCCACTTCCGATGACGATGGACTCCCTTATATCTCCCATGATCAACCTACTAGTTTCCCTCATCAACATCTCCCAACCCAAATCCTTCATCAACATCATCTCCTCCTCCAGTATACCACGGAATACCCTCCAAGCCGTCACGCATCTGCTCGTCGTTGACGGCTGCGAAGTCAGGCCCGCCCCCAGCCGTAGGTGAAGAGGTGTTGAGACCAAGCAGCAAGTTGTCCTTCTTTCTTTCGTAGCGCATCTTCTTCGGAGTCTTGGGCTTGTCCGTCTTGGTGCGCTTAGGCGTAGTCAACTCCGCTGCGTCCTCAGGGTCTGTAGAGCTAGCTCGCTTGGGAGGACGGCCACGAGGCTTGCCGTTCTTGGTGGGAGTGGTCTTGAGATCATTGCTGGCTGCGGCAGAAGTAGCTAGACGTTCTGTTAGATCTCACGTATGAAATGTGAAGCGGTGTAATTGATGCTCGCCTTGGTCGGCGGTGGCGTCGAGCTTTTTCTTCAGATTGCCGAAGGTGGTCTTTGCAGAGCCGATGTTCTTAAGACCGCTGAGGGTGACGAATTTGTCCCAGTCAATCTGTGATTGTTAATCTAGGAAGGTATTGCTTTTCTCTAGGTCGGTGTAGCTCACCTCGATCGGCGACTTCGAGCAGCGGAAGCCGATAGCGAGAAGCTGTATATCGCGAGGACTCAGACCGCTTGTCATGTTGGCTGTGATGGTGGTATTAGCAGCTGTACGTGACAAATAGCGTAAATGTACAGGCAGCTGTGGGGGCTTTAAAGTGTTTTTAGATTGTGGGAGACGTAAGCGTCGGTGAGGTGAAGGGAAGAAGGACAAGATATGCTTGTCGAAAGTTGGTCCGCTGGGGACAAATTTCACCATCCACTCTAGGTGAAAGGAAAAATCACCTGGAAGCAATGGTTGTGCGCAAGTGTTATCTGGTGAAGTTCACAAAGCAATCTGCAACGGAATTCGGAAACAAAACAATCGATGCGAGTTTGACCAGAACGCTGGGATCCGCGATTTGTCTCCATGAGAGAAGTGTTGGAAAAGTCAAATATCTCAATTGATAGAGTGGTCTGCTTGATTGGAAGCGCTGCACTCAAGTGAGCAAGTATATCAACGCCTCACTGATAGATTCTCTCCCCCTGAGTACCTGAGTACCTGTGTGCAATTCGCCACTTCAGTCTCCACGAACGGCCTCCCTCTTGATTACAACACGAACGTTGTCCTCCGCGCCTTCTTCAACTTCGTCGTCGGGCTCCACAGATTCTTCCTTCTCGGCCTTGACCTTGTCCTTCGCACCCTTGCGCCCGCCACGGGCCTTCTTGATTGGGCTGCCATCGTCATCCCAATCGGCGGCAGGCTTGGAGCGTTTCTTTGCGCTGCCACCACTTGGGCTGCCGCCATCGTCCTTCTTGATAAATCCCATCTTGTTGCGGATGGCGCGCCAGGCGTTCATGGCAGATCCTTTGTTGGTGAATCCGGCGAGATCGGAAAATTTGTTCATGTCGAGCTAGGAATGTCAGCGCTACTACAGACTACAAATATTCATGTAACATGTGCATACCTTCGGCTCTGCTTCGAAACATTGGCAAGCGAACATCCAGAGCTGCTGCTCACGCTCGGTGAGGGGGGTCTGCAGGACGTCAGTATACTATGTGACACTATAGTTGCGGACCCGGACTCACAGGGTTGGTCCCTGCGGCGGTTTTGGCGGTAGCAGCTTTGGGTGGCATCTTGGTCAATAGGTGTGGTTTTGGGTGCGTGTAGTGGTGAAGAAAGGAAGTCGTTGAGCTGATGTGGGTGAGGTCTATCGTGAGTGCGGTAGTGGAAGAAGAAGATGCTAGAGAAACGTAGAAGAGCGGAAGGTGAATGACGAGAAATGTTGCTTAGTCGTTCACTAGGAAATCAGTGAAGGGAAGCGGGGAGGGATCAAAGCCCTGCTGGCACATGTCGCCATTTGGCGACTTCACCTACATAACAAAAATATGTTTTCCATAGCGCCACCGTATCGTTCAAATGTCTACTCGTTCGACTAGTCGTGATGTTATCACGCCATGTCGTATCCCATGTCGTATCCCAGGAAGAGGCCGTGCTATCGTACCTCATGATATCCCACCAAGATGCCCCATAGATCGCGGGGCGCATCACTGGTCTTAGTGCTGGCCTTGATGCTGGCCTTGGTGGTGTAGGTGCGATGTCGGCTTCTGTCTTCCCACTACTACCCGAAGTAGGTGCTCTAGTGGCGCCGCTCATCGTCTCACCAATCGCACTTGAGTGAGCTGTAGAGCTCAGAGGATGAGAGGTGGGACGAGCTGTGGGACGAGCTATGGGACTGTCACTTGGAGATACAGCGAGGCTATTTGCCATGTGATGCGTGCCGAACGTCGTGTGGAAAGTCCCAGTGCGTGTTGCGGACGAGAGCGTGGAATGACTTTGCACTAGGTGGTCATTGGTGCTTCCCCGACACTGCATTGTTTAAAGCCTGTTGCGCCGCCAAATTCGCCAACCTACCTTCATTTGATGCGTAGATGGATCTGACTCGCGATCAACACATATTGCAACTGCTTGCAAGCAGGCGTCTTGCCCTTTAGTGCCGAGAACTTCGGAGGACATCGAAGACAAACTGTGGATCGAATATTTGGTGCAGCGCGCTACACTCGACCGGGATGATCGAGCTCAAGCAGTTGTCGGCTGGTCCTTGGCGGTTTGCTGTTCGTTCGATAATGGGCATGGGACCTAAGCGCTAGAGGGACTGGACAATGACATAAGATTCGATATCGATATGACAAAGTTGGTTGTCATGAAGAGGTGTCCGGTTTTACAAAGCCGGCAATAGCACTATACAACAAAGCCCGCAAGCAAAGCCTGCCCTCTTAATTGCCGTTACCAAGATCTGAGATTGAATGCAAAGTGCACGGCAGTGAGTTCTATATTACACAAAGGACTGCAGTGCTTTCAGTCGTCATTCGAAGATTGATCTTGGCTTATGAGATCCTTCGCGATAGACTTCTGGAGAAGGAATTTGCAACATGTCGGATAAAAATGAAAGGGTATACTTGCAAGACTCATCTTCCCAAACTATAATGCAGGTCATACTGGCTGCAAAAAGCCATCATTATGTACTCCGTCCACCATGAAATCGTCCGATTCATACACGTCGTCAGCTGTAGCCTGCGCACGTAATTCTGGAGGAGGAGAATCACGACGTGGGTCGTACTTGTGGGTCCGGGTAAGGTGATCGATCAACCGCCGCGGTTCATCATATATTCGGCTGGCCTGTTTGCAGTCTTGGTACGGACAGGATAAAGGATTAGGTGGGATCCAGCCCCTGACATTCAATCGAATGGGTCCGAAGCGGGAAGGCGGTGCAGCTGCCCAAGCTTCAAGATCTCTGACTTTGTCCGAAGGATAGTCGTGAGCACGCTGCAGGTGCTCTCGAAACCGGTAGCCTTTGGATAGAGGGTATCCCTTGTCGTGTCGACGACAATTCCTATGCGGGCAAAAGTACATGTTGACTGCTGAGGAATGTCGGCTGGCTGGTGGCACGGGCATCGATTTAGAGTGATGTGGGCGCGACTCTGCTCCTACAGGCACAGCAGACATTATCATCGACTCGTTGAAAAGATTAGTGCATCTGTCCATCGTCCGTTTGACGATAGAGGGATCCCAACCGGTAAGAGCAGCCAGGCCCAGCACTTCAGACCAGTCACGAACACCTCGCCGATAGCGATCTAATTCACCATCCGAGTTGCTGAAATTGCTGATGGATGAAGCAACAGATTGGCTGCGCTGGCGAGAACGTCCCCTGTGGTCAACGGGGGTCACCCGATCGTCACTCGTCCTTCTTCGCTTCGGCGGTCTGTCGGCACCTTCCACATCTATGTCGAGTCCGGACATCACATTTTCCGACGAACGACGGCGTCGAAGCATTGTCTTTGTGACTGATGCTGATCTTGACCGAGAGAGGGAGCTGCTTCTTAGTCGAATCGCAAGGTCATCCTCAGCATCGGCGAAATGGTTGGCGCGATTGTGATGCAATGCCATGAGAAGCCCATCGAAGCGTGCCACTGTCGACATGATGGCAGGTCGTAGAATAGCCTCTGATCTCCCGTCGTCCGCAGAAAATACAGGCCTGGGACCGTCGAGCTCGGGGATGTCATGATTTTCGGCATCGTTTGCGGATTGGCTTTGCACGTTCGGTGTTTCACTTCGACTACGGCTTTGCGACCTTGATCGTGATCTCGACCGGATTGGTGACAGTGTGATGCGCTCATCAATCTCCGGTGTTCTTTCTGACCAGTTACGTTTAAGATGACGGAGGGCGATCGCAGTCAGCTCTGCTGACAGTTCAGCGAGTGGTTCTGTACGTTCAGGCTGCGGTTCATTCTTCCAGAGCTTTTCAGACGTTTGCGGAACACTGGGATACTCTAAAGGCCAGGTTGTCCACGTTTGTCTTGGATACCATGGCTTCCGGTCTTCGTCGTCCTTTGGTATCCACTTGCTCTTCCGGGCAAACGAGCCTGCCGTAGTAAATGATTCTGCATTACGCAAAGACCGCTTCCACGAATGTGTGTTATACAGATGTGCCGCCAGATCATCCCCGCGAAGGTCTACCAAAGACTTTGCGAGTGAAATTTCGTCTTGAGCATAGCTTTTCCAGAGGGCGTCGGAGCCTGGGAAGCGATCCCTCGGCACGCCCTCCTCTTGACCTACATCGC